ATATACCACTCATTATATGTCTAGCATTAAGTAGTCTGTAAGCATTAGGTTTAGTCTGCCCGAAACGTCCCGGCATGCTAGTATATTTCTTTGTACCCATCAACATGCTTTATATGTATTCACACATTGTAACTTATGCAAAGAAATAAAATTTGATTTGATTTAATCAAGATCCCTTCATCCGCATTAGGACCCTCCCTCCCTTGACGGGTCTGTGTTGACTAATTGGCAGATGTAGTATATAATTGCTTGCAAATAAATAAATATATGCAGAACAACCACTGTGAAAAAAAAATAGTGAACTTCCAAGCATTTTCACGATTTCTCACATTATCAAAGAACTTTGATTATGTGAGAAATCACGAAAGCGCTTGGAAGCTATTTTTTCATAGTGGTTGCTTTGCATAGTGTGATATCGCCTGTTTAGTATTATATATGTCGTGCCGAATAGGCAGAACTTGCGATCTTGGCTTAAATAGCAACGCTCATCTTGCCATATAGGACAAGCGAAAATTTGTGTATGCAATAATTTCGCCAAAATCATTCTGAACCTAACGAAAAAAATATATTTCACTGTGTTTGTTTAGTATTAAATTACTGTAAACAAATCTAAAATATATTTAGTTGGGTTAGGCTAAAATAAATTGTTCTTGTTATAATAAGGTTAGGTAAGTTTTCTAAGATTATTTTGGTGCAAAATTATAATTTTTACATTAACATTAATGAAAAAAATATATCTTTAAACGTATAAGAGAAATTTTTAGAAAGGACTTAATTTTAAATGAGTTCTTGCTAATTGACCAGTTTTACATATTCGGCACGACATATATATATATATATATATATATATTATATATATATACATTGTGAATTTTCATGCGAGTAAATTACCTACATGAGGTTTACGGGGTATTACCTGAAATATTACGTACAAGTAATGTGGGTGAGATAAATGAAATTTAAGTCACAGTAGGTCACCAAACTGTAACTTCCTCGATGCCCACTTCACCACTCACGAAAAGCTAGACCTGACATTAAATTAATAATTACAATATTAAACCCAGCTAATATAGCAAAAAATATTGTGGACTGTATATGATTAGTCTTGCTGGGTACACAAAAGAAATTCATGTTACCACTTACCATTTAATTACTGTAGATGGATCACACCACAACACCTGCATGACACCTAGACCCTACACTGGCCAGCTAGAGACTAATGGTGCACTTCCCTTGAGTGATGGTCGTATTATTTATCTTCTGCCTCCCCTCAAGGGAGGTTCCTTGACGTTGGTGAGGGGCTCTTGATCTAGGGAATTGGATCTGTGTTCCGGTTCCCTGAATTGAACCTGAATACCTTCCATCCCCCCACATGCGCTGTATAATCCTACGGGTTTAGCGCTCCCCATGATTATAATTATATCTTCTGCCTTCCACACAATTTTTCAGGTCCCGCAAATTCCCTGTCCCAATTCTTCAGCAGGGGACATTAACACTGGTTCCTTTTACAAATTCAAGCCGGAAAACCCCAATTTAGCCAAGAAGATGCTGGATTATTTGCTGTATTTTCCACGACAGCCAGTGCCCACAAATCACAAATGGTGTCCCCCATTACTTCCCCGGCTGTTCTGCCTTCCCCCTCACTCGAAATTTCTCGAAGGGTCAAATCAGCATCATATTTTATTATTCAGATTTACACATGATGAATTTAGGGAAATCCAAAATTTTCCACCACAATATATATATATATATATATATATATATATATATATATATATATATATATATATATATATATATATATATATATATATATATATATATTGTAAAATACATTTGAAACAGATTACATTGGTATCAGATAAAATTTAGAAAAGAGCGCCCAGGGTAGTGAAACCCGACCGACACACAGGTCGACCACGTCAAACTAGGTTGTTGTCTCCTCTGTACTACACACAGTCGTATGGTTCTGAAAGTTTGTGTCCGATGAAGATTTGTTTGTTAGGTTTAATCTAAGTGGAGTGCTGCCGACAACACTGAATAATAATATGAGGATCGCTAAACCCGTAGAATTACACAGCGCATGAAGGGGGGGGGGCGGATGGAAGGTATTTAGGCCCAATTCAGGGAACTGGAGCAAAGATTCAATTCCCTAGATCAAGAGCCCCTCACCAGCGTCAAAGAACCTCCCTTAAGGGGCGACAACACAAGAAAACTCACACCTTGGGGAAAAAAAAAAAATAGCTTCGATTTAGGCAAATAAAAATGTTTTACTAATAAGTTGTTTTTCAGATTCTTTTCTTCACTAAACAACAATAATGATAACACTATTATTAATTACTCGAAAACAAGCGCCAAACCCGCATGAGTCACAGCGCACAATAGGTTTAAAGCCTGTCAACTATATTACCTAAACATCAAACAAGTTCTAGGATCAAGAGCCCTTGAGAGGGATAACAACAATGTCTGTGGTCTTCCTTGAGTGGTACAGAGAGGGTTTATATAACGGTAGATGGACTCAGCCTGGCGGTAATTTAAGAAATTAGAAAGTTTGCCATCATTCTTGAGCAGCTCCTCAGGTTAGTAATGTCAGGTTCCAGCAACCATATGGTCGACACTCTTTTATTAACGTGTAGCGTTTTAGCTCTTGTTCGTCTGTTTATAATCCTCTAAAACACTTTCAGATGTATTTGTCCATACTTATATAACGAAACAGATAATCTCCAAGTCATGAAGTCATCTCTTTGACCACTTCATCTTAAATGAATTATTATAATCATAATTAAGCGCTAAACCGTCAAGGGTCATACAACATCTGAAATGAAAAACTGTTTTTTACTTCCAACAGACAAATAAATGTGTTGGTTTAGGCAACAGAAGTCTGAAATACCTCGTGAAGAGGAAATATCTTAAATGTGTTAATTGAAGAGATATTAAAGAAAACTGTCTTAAGGCGGAGAAAATGGATATTAACACTGGACCAGTGTTGTTGTTCCGTGAGGACGCTCGCTAATACTGCCACTTATGGCTTCAAGTTCCTTTTAATTAAGGTAAAGTACAGCAAGTTTGAGTTAGACAAAGTTTTTGCTTTAAATGCTATAATGTGCGGCTACCCTGATTTATATGACCTTATGCCAGCTTAGTGCTAAAATTATGTTCATTTACTTATGTTCCTACAATGGCGCGCGCGCGCGCGCGCACACACACACACACACAGTGTCAGTGTCACTGACATGTATAGTATGCAAAATCATGGAGAAGATTATCAGGAGAAGAGTGGTGGAACACCTAGAAAGGAACGATCTCATCAACAGCAGCCAACATGGTTTCAGGGACGGGAAATCCTGTGTCACAAACCTACTGGAGTTCTATGACATGGTGACAGCAGTAAGACAAGAGAGAGAGGGGTGGGTGGATTGCATTTTCTTGAACTGTAAGAAGGCGTTTGACACAGTTCCACACAAGAGATTGGTGCAAAAACTGGAGGACCAAGCAGGGATAACAGGGAAGGCACTACAATGGATCAGGGAATACTTGTCAGGAAGACAGCAGCGAGTCATGGTACGTGGCGAGGTGTCAGAGTGGGCACCTGTGACCAGCGGGGTCCCGCAGGGGTCAGTCCTAGGACCAGTGCTGTTTCTGGTATTTGTGAACGACATGACGGAAGGAATAGACTCTGAGGTGTCCCTGTTTGCAGATGACGTGAAGTTGATGAGAAGAATTCACTCGATCGAAGACCAGGCAGAACTACAAAGGGATCTGGACAGGCTGCAGACCTGGTCCAGCAATTGGCTCCTGGAGTTCAATTTCACCAAGTGCAAAGTCATGAAGATTGGGGAAGGGCAAAGAAGACCGCAGACGGAGTACAGTCTAGGGGGCCAGAGACTACAAACCTCACTCAAGGAAAAAGATCTTGGGGTGAGTATAACACCAGGCACATCTCCTGAAGCGCACATCAACCAAATAACTGCTGCAGCATATGGGCGCCTGGCAAACCTCAGAACAGCATTCCGACATCTTAATAAGGAATCATTCAGGACCCTGTACACCGTGTAACTAGGTGAGTACACACACACACACACAATTATATATATATATATATATATATATATATATATATATATATATATATATATATATATATATATATGTATGTATACATAGTTATAGCAAGGTTAAGGAACACCTCAAGTAACTTATAAACAAAATCCACGTTTGATTACATGCAACTAGAGAAGCATTGAGTTATTCTATGTTAAATACTGCACATATATTTCAAAGTGTAGCCTTAGTTATATTATACCATGCCCAAGATGCCACCTATAACACCTCACTAACACCCAGGTACCTACTTACTGCTAAGCGTTCTTGTTATTGTAGTTATTAGTATTAATGGAGAGGCGCTAAACTCTTATGGGTCACACAGAGCCTGGGAAGGGAAGAATCAGATTCGATCTAATGAAGGAGAGTATAGGTCCAGTTCCTTGGATCAAGAGTCCTTCCCTAGCATCAAACCTATTTATATCTCGCTGAGTCGCTGCCTTCACAGAAATCGAACACAGGTACACAAGACCATAATCTAGCGAGAGAGAGAAAAAACTTAGATCATTGAGCTACACTTCACCTAAAACTATAATAAAACTCTTCCAGACATGAGAATCCACGTTTATAACTGAAAATAAAATAAAGGGCTTTATTATTATTAAGTACTGAATTAGAAAGGTTCATACAGCGCTGCTAATGAATGGAACTCTGCCACTGATACAAGCAACAGAGACGTTAAAAACAACGGATTATTATATTCACGGAAGCAGCTAAGAAAATAAGGAAAGCTGGATAAATAGAGAGTCGGCAAAAGCTCAAAGAGGTCAGTCATTTTTTCTACGAAGAAAGTGGGTGCGCAGGAGCAGCACAGTCACTTACCTGTGCCATTTCAGTATTTTTATATTCATAGGGAAGCTCTCATCACGTAAGAGCTATAATGTTAGTGCTTTGGATCAAGGGCCATCCTTGAAAAAGTATTACCACTTTCATGGAGGGGCGCTATTACTCGTAGGGATCATGCAACTAGTTAGAAAATAGGAGGAAATCAGGTTCTGTTCAAGGAAACGGATGATAGGTCTAATTCCCTGGATCAAGATCCCCATTGTAAGAAGTGTAAATAAGAAGAGTTGCACCTTGAGCGTAGTTACAGCGCAGCTTTCACTTACAGCATCAGGACTATATAACCAGACACGAACAACCTAAACCACAGTTCTTCATCACTTTTCACAGAGTCAACATGGTGGCCTTCAAGCGTGTAAGTTTGAATTTATTTCTTCATCGTCGAAAAAAAAGTTATAGCGTGATACTTGTGAATAAGTGAAGGCTGCGTAGAATATATGGCAAGGTAGCTGCAGTAACTGCTTGATCAGAGACTAACGAGGGAGGAGAGAATAATAGAGGTAGAGTTAGTAAGGGCGGTGAGAAGTGCTCAAGGAAGTATAATCAGTTTGTGTAATAAATCTGTTGGTCAAAAAAATCAAGATGGGTGTAATGTTCAGTAACAAGAGACCACAGTCTGTATCCCGGCTGATAGATAAACTACATTTTAGCTACCACTGTCTAGATATGATTAGGGCAGCAGTACGCAAGCATAAAACTGTTTAGGAACTGATGATTAGGCACAGAATTTAAGGTATAATTGTGAAGCACTAAAGCCGTAAATCACACACCGCCCGGGGACTAAGAGGAATCAGATTTGATCCGAGGAGAGGGAGAATAGCTGAATCTTGGAGGACCAAGAGCTCTTCATTAATATAAAAGCCTCCCTCTGCCTTCCTTAACCATATACCCTGCCATAGTGCAGCGTATATGGTTAAGATCAAATATAAGGCCAGGATTAATTACGTTGGTTATTACATTAATAGGGGCACGGAGAGTGCTAAACCCGCAAGTTATAGTCTTGGAAAATTGTAAGTAACCAGGTTCTGTCCAAGGAAGGGAAGATCGGGGTCAATTCCATGGCTCAGGAGCCCCTCACAATATACAATACAACCATCTGACGAAGTTGTTAAATTAGACATATGTGCAACTCTTGGGTATCTTTATTGAGGAAACGTTTCGCCACACAGTGGCTTCATCAGTCCATACAAAGGATAAACTTGAAGAACAGGAGGAGAATGAGGTAATCAGTCCCTCAACCTTGAGTCGATGTGGTCAGTCCATCAATCAAGATTGATGGACTGACCATCATCGACTCAAGGCTGAGGGACTGATTACCTCATTCTCCTCCTGTTCAAGTTTATCCTTTGTATGGACTGATGAAGCCAGTGTGGCGAAACGTTTCCTCAATAAAGATACCCAAGAGTTGCACATGTCTAATTTAACATGTCGGTTCTTTGAACCATTCATCTACCATCTGACGAAGACCCTTCTAGCAGAAAAACCCGAGATTTGAATAATTTTTAAGATATGAAAATATACACTTTCTACCGACCCATACTGGCTTAGCGCTTCTTTTTGATTATAATAATAATACCGACCCATACTACTTATATCAAGTATAATGTTGAGTGCCATCCGTACAAGTAAATATTTTTTGCGAGGTACATACACAGCGTACCTACCTGATAGACCGTGCAGCGTCGACTGACTCCGTTTAAAGGGGGTGTTATTAATGGTTGTAAGGAGCCGTGAAGACTCTCCGCCGGAGCTTCGGGTTCCCATTTTTACCAAACGAATCCTTTTCAAATTCAAATTCAAAGTTTATTCTCAAATAAGGATTACAATGCTGGGGTTTTACAGAATTTGGTTATTGTATTGTTTACAAGTAGTAAAATAATAATTACAGAGTGTACGACAAGAACCCCTAGCATGGCTAGGCTTTCGGGCAGACTTAAATTAAATCTTAAGTTTAAAATATTACAAATTATTATTATTATTATTATAATCAAGGGGGAAGCGCTAAACCCGGGAGGATTATACAGCGCCGGGGGGATGTGGAAGGCATTCAGGCTTAATTCGGGAACTGGACCCACAGATCCAATTCCCAAAATCAAGAGCCCCTCACCAACATAAAGGGAAACCCTTTCCCCTGAGGAAAAAAAAATTATGAGGTAAGTTGGTATTATGGCTAAGTGACTAAATACTAGTTTGTGAGTTTAGAAATGTGAATGCTTTTGTTTTGGCACTATACATAGTTTCATTTTTGGAGTATCACAGGCCAACTTATGACTAGTTAAGATTCTTTATTTTGAGATTGAGATTGATATTTCTGTTTATGGTCAAATGGGTGAGTGAGTGTAAGTGTTAACCACCAGGTGGTATTCGTGTAATTAGTTGACAGGGTATCAGGAGATAAAATGTTTTCTGATGGTAGTTTTTTGAAGGTGATGAATGTGTCTGCATTTTAGAATTTTCAGGTAGGGTGTTCCAGATTTTAGGGCCTTTGACATGCATTGAATTTTTGTAAAGGTTTTTGTCGGACACGGGGAATGTCATAGAGATGTTTGTGTCTGGTATTGTGCCTGTGGGTTCTGTCGAACTATCAAGAAAGCGTTTTAGGTCAAGGGTTTAAAATTGGAATTTAAGGTCCTGTTGATATAGATTGCACCCGTAGTAAGTGTGGATGTACTGAACAGGGAGTAAGTTTAGATCTATGAAGAGTGGGGGGGGGTGTTGTCAGGGATGGGATTTAGTGATTATTCTTACTGCGGGTGGGGTTGATTATTATAATCAAAAAGAAGCGCTAAAAACCCAAAGGGGGGGGTTTGAACCCGCGGTCAGAGTGTCTCAAAACTCCAGACCCCTCGCGTTAGCCACTGGGGCAGCTTGCCACAATAAGATTCATCCAACTAGGTATATTTCTACACCATAGGAAGGTTAGCATAGGCGCCACTGTGATCACAAATGAAAGTTTTTACAGACAAATCTCCCGCTAGCGTGGCCGTGACGAACTCTAAACTCAAATTTTGAGGCTCTCTGACCGCGGGTTCAAACCCCACCTGTGGTATGGTTTTTTGCAATCGTGTCATTACGATTTCGTGAGTCGAATCATTTAACTCCACAATGGATTTCACCCCCCAAGGGAGGTTCCTTGACGCTGGTGAGGGGCTCTGGATCTAGGCAACTGGATCTGTGCTCCGGTTCCCTGAATTAAGCCTGAACACCGTCCATCCCCTCCCCAGGCGCTGTATAATCCTACGGGTTTAGCGCTCCCCCATGATTATAATAATAATTATAATAAAAAAGAAGCGCTAAGCCACAAGGGCTATACAGCGCTGCAGGGTAGGGAAGGAAGCGAGGGTATTGAGCGGCAGTAGGGGGAGGGATGATCAGTAGGTTACAGAAAACAACGGGGCAGGGAATAGTGCGGGGTAGATATAAAATAATAAATCTACAATGGACATACTTTTCTCCTACGGACAATAAACTCTCGTATATTGTCATAACTTCTTTCCAACTGTTACTTTAGGTTCACATCAAACAAAACCAAAGTACAAAGAAGTTAGTATTGTTATTGGTGTGTACCTGGAGTTTACCTGGAGAGTGTTTCCGGGAGCCCAACGCCCCCGCGGCCCGGTCTGTGACCAGGCCTCCTGGTGGATCAGAGCCTGATCAACCAGGCTGTTGCTGCTGGCTGCACGCAAACCAACGTACGAGCCACACCCCGGGCTGGTCAGGAACCGACTTTAGGTGCTTGTCCAGTGCCAGCTTGAAGACTGCCAGGGGTCTGTTGGTAATCCCCCTTATGTATGCTGGGAGGCAGTTGAACAGTCTCGGACCCCTGACACTTATTGTATGGTCTCTTAACGTGCTAGTGACACCCCTGCTTTTCATTGGGGGGATGTTGCATCGTCTGCCAAGTCTTTTGCTTTCGTATTATTATTATAATCAAAAAGAAGCGCTAAGCCACAAGGACTATACAGTTTTGCTTTCGTAGTGAGTGATTTTCGTGTGCAAGTTCGGTACTAGTCCCTCTAGGATTTTCCAGGTGTATATAATCATGTATTTCTCCCGCCTGCGTTCCAGGGAATACAGGTTTAGGAACCTCAAGCGCTCCCAGTAATTGAGGTGTTTTATCAATTGTCCATTTTATCTTTTATTATGCAGCATTCTTTTTCCCCGTATTTTAATAACTTGAGCATGCCTTTTCTAAATGCTTTCGGTCATCAATGGCTGTTGCATTATTATTATCAGGGGGAAGCGCTAAACCCGCAGGCCCGGTGGCTAAAGCTCCCGCTTCACACACGGAGGGCCCGGGTTCGATTCCCGGCGGATGGTAACATTCGACACGTTTCCTTACACCTGTTGTCCTGTTCACCTAGCAGCAAATAGGTACCTGGGTGTTAGTCGACTGGTGTGGGTCGCATCCTGGGGGACAAGATTAAGGACCCCAATGGAAATAAGTTAGACAGTCCTCGATGACGCACTGACTTTCTTGGGTTATCCTGGGTGGCTAACCCTCCGGGGTTAAAAATCCGAACGAAATCTTATCTTATCTTATCTAGGATTATACAGCGCCTGTGGGGGGATGGAAGGTATTCAGGGTTAATTCATGGAACTGGAGCACAGATCCAGTTCCCTAGATCAAGAGCCCCTCACCAACATCAAGGAACCTTCTTGAGGGGTGGATGTAGCATCTTAAGACAGAATGCTACCAATAAGTTTACGTTCGAAGACGCAAATTTGCCAATGTTCTAATTTAGTTAATAAACGTACGTAGTTGAAGTCAGAACAGTAACTGGAGGCCTCACCGGATCGGCTTCATTTTGGATTTTAATTGGCCTGTTTAAGTGCCAATTTGTCAATTTTATCAAACTTTTACTTTCCATGCGATATGTTTTAATGCATAAACCGACTGTCTCCCTAGCCTACACACTGATCTATATTACATGAAGCTATGAATTGTTATTAGATCTTATTATAATCATAACTAAGCATTAAGCCCACAAGGTATTGAACTATTATTATTATAATTATAAATCAGCGCTAAAAGGTAATGAACTATAAAGGTGTAACGTAGAAAAATTTTACTTACAACGTCTCAGTTCTCGTCTTCTAGCTCGGAAAAGATATGAAATTCGTTCCTAAAATTGAAGAAACATTTGACTCGTATTATATAATCAAATTATTATTATAATCAAAAAGAAGCGCTAAGCCACAAGGGCTATACAGCATTTGACTTGTAAGAATTGTAAATTATAATAAAAAAGAAGCGCTAAACAAGTAAGAATTGTAAATTATTATTATTATAATAAAAAAGAAGCGCTAAGCCACAAGGTCTATACAGCAGTAAGAATTGTAAAGAATTTGAAA